CACTGGGTGTTAGATACACAGAATGTAATCAGTCATGACATGCACTTGTGTGGTGGCCTCCAGCTCTCTGTACAAACAGAAACTAATTAGGTGCTGATCAATTCATAGGTGATATGATGAGAATGTTTGGTATCAGTGTGTAATATTTATGGTGCTGTTGGGGTAATCTCGTGGTTAAAGCATTTGTTCCACACCCTGAAGACCTGGAGGTTTGACAGCATGGGTACATCGTGTTAAGACCATTTCTCATGTCCCCTGTTGTGATATTGGTGGAATATTGCTAAAAGTGGCGTTAAACCTTACTCACTCACTTATGGTGAAAATTGTCGTCAGTAGTATCTTACATTTTTTGAAAGAAGGTTTGAATTTAAACACACAATACACATAGTTACAATTGTATTGATAGGTCGCTTGTAAAATCTATTTAGAATGATGTTTTTGTTTGTAATCCATACATAAATATTTCACCTCTTGGCAATGATGGGAATTATGTTGATATCTGTAATAGTCAGCCTCGGTCCCAAACGATCGAGAACTTTGTTTTATTAGGCATGTACCCGAGATAAATTTCATGTTTCTATAACTATTCGAGACATGGTTATTTATTATTATTACATACACATCTTATATGTAGAAACAATGTAAAGTGGAATCTGTCAAATCTGGACTCTTTGTAAACCAGTTTTTTCCATAATCTGGACTACTCTCTTGAGTCCCTGCAAAATTATTCTTAATTTATCATTAAAGCTTGCTTTACTGAGAACAATGCTTTGTAATCTGGACGTAGCTGACTAAAATAACAATCCGTTGAATAAACAACTCTGTTACTTCTGTTCTCAGAGGCCCTTTCTCAGATATTTTGAAGTGTAGTGAACATTACCGTTGGCTTTTTAAAAGAACATACCATTTATTGCCGCAGACAAGCCGAATGTTGATGAAGCACCACCCCCCACCCACCCCAACTGTTTGTAGAAGGGGGTTGATTTAACTATGGGTTACACTTTCTTCATCAAACTTTTTCAGGTAGTGGCCGCTAGTGTTGCTATTTTTAGAGTTGCGGGCCATGGGCGGGCGATGATTTGGGCCATGGGCAGACGATGATTTGGGCCATGGGCGGTCAACGTTTAAGGTCGAAATACACATATTCGGACTAAATGTATGCAGTGTTTTTTGATGGTATGGCGTAGTACATGTTCTGGTGCAAGTATTTTGCAAAACGTAACATCTGGCAACGAAAGATGAAGAAATATGGTAAGTTGAACTTTGCTCTTATTAAAACGTATGCCAAATATTGTAAAAAATATTTATTTTCTTGAAGTATGAGCAAATACGCTCATTATAACCACTAATTTATATGCACAAAAAGTTAGGTATTTTTTGTAAGTATTTAACTCGCTGAAATGAAACCGTAAACTTTTCTTGTGTCACTGTCGTGAATCTGCATAGCTTGGTCATTTATAGTTATCTGCCCTTGATATGAAGCGGGAAAGTAGATGCAGATTTCAGCGAGAAGTAGAGTTTTTCACAGCAAATGATTTTATAAATAACGCCTTTGTTTATCAAGTTTCCTGGATTCACCTGTGCATAGAACATCTTTAGTGTTGTGGTAATCGTATTTGAGGCAAGTTACACTGAACTGAAGTTGAAATTATATGTTTCTCTTGTTTTATTTACAAATTGCAATTTAGTAGCCATGGTAACCCGAGTATATGAATGAATTTTTCAAACTATATGCATGTAAACAATCCCTGTGTCTTAGCAAAGACAAGCCTCCTTACATGTTCATTGCTGAAATAGTGGTAATGTTCAGTGTTTAATCAAATATTTTTACTTTGTTATCCCCCGCCGCATGTTTAGCTCGAAGCGGGGGGATATAGTATTAGGCTCCGACCGTCCGTAAGTACGTACGGTCGAATTGGAATATCTTAAGAACCGTTTACTAGATTCTTTTCATATTTGGTACCTAGTTTCATCACAGTATAAGAAAGGTCCAACTCAGGTTTGGTGACCTTGACCTTCATTTCAAGGTCACAAGGGGACTTTAACATTTTACCTGGATGTTAAGCTATATCAAGAACCGTTCACTGGATTTTCTTCATATTCAATACCAAGCTTTATCTAGGGAAGGCACAGGGCCCAGTCGATTTTGGTGACCTTCACTTAATTTTCAAGGTCATGGTGACACTTTGAAGATTTCAGCATGTAAACCTGGATGTTAAGCTATATCAAGAACCGTTCACTGGATTTTCTTCATATTCAATACCAAGCTTTATCTAGGGAAGGCACAGGGCCCAGTCAATTTTGGTGACCTTCACTTAATTTTCAAGGTCACAGAGACACTTTGAAGATTTCAGCATATTAACCTACATGTTATGCTTGTCCGCGAGATACTTCAAGAACCATCCACTGGAGTTTCTTCATATTTGATACCAAGCTTCATCCAGGGAAGGCGCAGGGCCCAGTCGATTTTGGTGACCTTCACTTAATTTTCAAGGTCACAGACAGTTTGAAGATTTCAGCATGTTAAATTGCATGTTAAGATAGTCAGCAAGATATCGCACAAAATATTCACTGGATTTTCTTCATATTTGACACAGAGCTTTATCTAGGGAAGGCCCAGGGCCCAGTCAATTTTGGTGACCATCACATAATTTTAAGGGTCACGACGACACTTTGAAGATTTCAGCATGTTAACCTGAATTGTCAGCAAGATATTTTAAGAACGGTTCACTGGATTTTCTTCATAGACTTTTAAGACTTCTCGTGAATGTTTTTCAATAAGCAATTTCTTTAGTACTAGTTTTGCATATTTCATACACTATGACATTCATGTCAAGGTCAAAGTCAGTCTTGAAAATATGTGTGTGTTTGAACAACTAAAGAGCCAGATATCAAGAGAGGTTGATTAGTCATGTTTTTGTTGACATTTAACTTCATCTTAAACTTTCATTACTTTAAAAGTTTGATTTGATAATTTGAGGCGGGGTATTATGTCACCATAGTGACAATGCTTGTTAACTTAAAGTTGACTTGTAAATTTATTGAAAACCAGAATGCATGCATGATGGATCCTTAATAACATGTAAAATGTGATGCATTGCATAGAGATTTAGTATTTGAACCCAGACTTATCTAAGTTTTCTTTTGAATGAAAATGTAAGTATAGATGGTTACTGCATGTATATATAGGTTATTACGCGAGTGTGTTTTGGGATGGTTAATGTCCTGCATTAGTATTAGGTGAGCTAAATACACAGTGATTATTCCTAATGCATAATATTAACCACCCCAAAACACACGAGGGTAATAACCTATTTCTGATAATATCCATATATCATGCGCATTTCTCCATGCACAATACATGCTCAAAGCGTCGAAACAATCTGATTATTATTACCCTGGATAACCCAAGCTGCCTGTGAGGTGCTAGAAGGTTAGTGGTTACATGCCTTATTCCACAGGGTACCCATTTTCTGCTGGGTGAACAGAGGCAATTTTGAACAAACTCACTTGCCTAAGGTGAGACCACATGTATCACATGTGCTTCGTTGTGGGGCAGGACTGAAGTCCAAGAAACTCTCAGGAGTCAAGCTGCCTAACACTGTCACCCATCGAAGGACTCTCCGCGCCCAATGTCATTCTTACTTAATATTTTTGAAGAAATGCTATTTCAATTGCCGCAAATCATGAAACTAAACTTTGTGGAATGTGCAGAGATATCACAAATATGCGCATAGTAATACATTACGTCACAAACTTGGGGACAAAATCTTAATCTGATCACACAATCGACTGTGTTAGGTCATCTAGTTCCCAGTAAGTTTTTACGTTAAAGCATGCATTGTTGTCAACAAATCTTTGCTTACATTTCAAAAATAACAACAAACTTGTGTGGAACTTCAGTTAACCTTCTGAATAACAAATACGCTTTAATGTTCACATGACATTCTGCACCTTCAGGGATTGGGATGGAGAACTTTGACAGTGGGCCATTTTCAGGATTATTAGCCATTTTCTGAATTTTGAATGGGCCAATGCCCTTGTATCAATAGTAAACTTCAAAATTTTAATGGGCCATTTTTTATTCTAATGTGCAAAATGGCCCTTTCCCAATCCCTGACCTTGATTCCTGTGCCATCAATTTCGCTGACACTGACAGTCAGTCAAGGAACTGGTGTTGGGATCTTCGTAAGCCTATGAATCATAATTCACTCCACGTATCATAACCAGACATGAATTTTCTTGGATCAAAGCACCGACTGTATCATAACCACGGCGAGATTCCTGCTACAAGGGTTGAAGAGTGCCTCATCTGGAAGAAAATACTGCGGAAGATAAATATGAAAAGTTGTTATGACTGATGTTACGGTTAAATAATTGCCGTGACAAAAGGTTTAAGAATCCCCTTTGAACCAGCAAAATATAACACATTAAAATATTCAATAATATATTGAACAAACAATGAGCAAGATACTATGAATCACAATACAGATTTCTAATACAATGCAATTGAGTCACAAATCCAAAGTTATGGGTCACATATATAAAATATTAACTCACCAGAGTCTTGGTAATCACAGTGAGATCAGATATTGTAAATGGAGCTTGTTTACAAATGAAAACAGTCAGGCACGAAGTGTCAGGGTCAGACGATGATGTGACAAAGGCAAACAACGATGGGCAACTCCAGTGAAAGATCCATGTAATTCCGTGTGTCAGTCTTATGTGTCGCACCACACAACAGCCAGCCTTTATATATACTGACACAGATTCTCGAACTTTCCAGCAAAGCATGGCTTTATCATTAAACACTTAGATCTTTCACGAAACATGTTGAACATATGACATGACGATGTCAACACAAACATCCGGTCAAGGGAGGTAATTCTGGAGCGCTATCATAAAGGCGTGCCGCAAAAATACTGTTGCCACTGAACATATATGACTCAAAATGTGACCCACAACCAACACTCAAAACTTTAAACATTGTGCCTCATAATTATTACCACCTAACCAATGTTATTACAAATTACAAAAAACACACTCTCGTAACTCTGACTATTTTAACATGTCAATAAGCTATTCACAATCATAAACAAATGCACTCGTGTAACCTTGATTGGTGGATATAAGGGTGGTGCGGTGAAAATAGTCAGTTACTAATAAACACTTACTATATACGTGTACGACAGCCCATTGCAGTATGTAATGACACTAGGAAAGCAGATGTGAGAAGGTTGTTGCTAACGGTATCTTTTTTACTTGACACTTTGTGAAAATAAAATTTGGTATTAGGGGCATTAGTGATCTTGGGCTATTTATCTCAGTGCTGGACAATTAGATTTAGTGTACTTACGTGTAATGCAGACATTCCGAACATTTTTGTCAGCAAGATGTGACACTGTGTGTATATCATGAAAAGTCAAAATGTAAATGCATGCTCAAAGCATTAAATTTTATCCATCTCCCAAAAAGTTTTAAAGCTCCATTATGATGTTGAAAAATACACATTTGGTAAAGAAAATGAGGAATTTTGAGAAATGTGATGGCTGTTTCAAAGATTAAATCTCTCTTGTTTTTTTTTACATGTTATATGCAAAACATGATGGATGTGCCACATGATTAAAGTATGTAATACTACTCCTCTCCACGAAGAGTCGTAGTGGATTATAAATCGTGGCACCCACTACATAATAATTTTCTTTTAAACAAATTGTTATGACTGTTTCTCCTACAATGTGTTGCTAGATATTTTGGATGAGTATTTCGTACTTTTTGTACATTGTGGAACTGAACATACGTTTGACAGAAAAATCAAAAGCCCATCCATTTATTAAATATTGGAAACAAGGGTTTAAAGAACAGCACAAATGCCACAATGCATGAAGATAAAATTCATTTGAGCTGGGACTCCGCTATGTTCAAGAACATAAAATCATTAGGTGTGCAATTCTAGTTACAAGTAAACTGTCAGAGGAAATAATGTGCTGATGTGATTGCAGCTGTCTAGGGTACATGGGCCTCCGACAGTTCATTTCAGGGAAAGAATTTTCTTTACCTTTCATTTGTCATTTGTATCTATTTCAAACTGTGAAACATATTAGTCCATATCATTTTCACAGGGCTTTACAGGACACAAATTCCTGCGTCCTAGGTCAAATAAAAAAAATGTTGTGGTTCCAATTACACCTCTTTGTAGTATCCGAAAGCTTATTTTATTCATACCTCTTTAAAAAAATAGGGTCGGCACCAGAATTCAAGGGTCGGTCGGGTAATCGGAACCACAACATTTCTTTTAGGCCCTATACACATAGAAATTGACGACGGACGCAATGAAAATTTCTTAGCTCTACAGGGACGCAGAAAAGTCCAAATACTTTTTGTAAAAATTTCGATCAAGTAACAATAATATTCGTATATTCTTACAGTTACAGTTTGCGTGATCAAATTGCTATTCCAAGAATTTGTTGTTTCGTTTTGATTTGAAATTTTTTTGGTTTTTGACACTAGGCAGTGTTATTTAGCATGAAACATTACAGTGTAATTGTTTATGTGGTTCTTTTCAGATTCTAATAAATCTGTCTATCATTAAACCTCTGTGTTAATTTTATTTAAGTTATCACCGAGTTTGCTACTAGCTGGGTTACGGTATCATTTGCAATTTTACTTCATGATACATGATACAATACCAGTAACTGAATTACAACAATATTAGAACGTAGTATTAATAATAATATTTAAGTAGCCCAGGGCCCCTGAAAATTAAGAGTAAGAGTAAGTCAAGTCAAAGGTGTTTTATTGTATCAAACACCATCAGCCCATATACAAATTTACATAAATACACTGGTTGAGAATATACCGATAGGTAGATACAGTGGAAATGCCAGGGACCCTCAAATACAATACTCAAGGTAAATCCCTGTTTTCACAATGATTCCAAGCTGACACGTGTAGCTATTTTTTATTTGGTCTTAGCGGTGCTGATGTGATTGCAACTGTCTTGTCCACCTGTTTAATTGTACATTCCTATATTTTCTTAAGATATTTCTGAAACAGATGGGAAACATCCGGGGCCAGTGCTGAAACTGAAAAATGGTTAGACAATGAAGCGACTGATTTAACTTTTTCTGTGTATGATCCTCTTTGTGTGAGGTTTCATTTCAAGTATACTCTGAACATAAGTGTCAAATCATGTAATATATTTGGATTATGGACAACTTTCAACAATTATATGAACTATTTACTGCATTCAAGACAGATCTGTGACATATAAATGCAACAAGCAACCATTGAAGTTTTTGAATATAAAATAAAAATGTGCTCAAACGTTTCTTATCTTTAAAAACAACTTTCAAGAATCAGATGAGTGTCTATATGAATATAATTTCTAATTTTTAAATAATGGTAAAGAGGGATTTTGAGCAGTAATTCTTTCAAGAAAAAATTGGGGAAACATGCATCAACATCCGCTTTGCACTGGAACAGATTTCTACATGAAAACTTACATTTCCTTGGAGGAGTTGAGTGGACCAAATCGTGAAAATCGCTCACATTGGTGGTTTCGGTTGGGGGCTTCTTTGGGCTAAAGCACATACATTTTCTGTAAAAGAAACATCATTTCTTTACTTCTCAGTGGTTGCCAGACCTGAAAAAAACAAACAAGCAAATTATTCCTTACATAACAAAATTTGATCTGCGGTCCAAAACGACATGGTATCGCTTCGCCTGAACAAACAAGAGAACAACGACTTTGTCAGTAATAATGCCAAATTTGAAATTAAAAACATACATAACAAGATTGTTTACATATTCAGGTCAAATTTGTTTTGCAAGGCATTGTCTTATATGCAGGGATTAGATTACCATGTGTAATTGTCGCGTATACAGAGAAAATACGGAAATAGCAATCAGCTGTGCACGCGTCGAGTTCCATGTTTTGCACACGTCCCCCTACAGTACCGGTGATTTAATTAAAATATAACCGATAACATAACATCTCGCTAGATTTGCACCTCGAAAAGTTTGTTGACATGTGATCGTCCAGCTACATTAAATATGACCTTTAGCGAAACAAAATATGTATGCGTATCCATTTTTTGTCAACTACACTTCCTTTTGAGACGTGAGTAGACGCAATGTGATATGGTTGCTGTAAATAATGCAGACCGAAATATCGGAGCGGCACACGAATTCACAGAGTTAATATTCCATTCTTTTTCAAAACATTTTTAGTAAAATTACCGTTGTCCTCAAAGGAGGTAACTCATCATGGCAGTGTCTACGGTAACGGACAAAAGTTGACTAATCACGTCTGCTTTATAATCCGGACAACTGAGTCTGTCACAGGCCTGTACGTAATAGATTCCACTGTATATTGTAGTCATAAGATCAATTTAATTTATTATCTTAAGATTTAACAATAGTTCGCTCCAGAAATCGGCTGGAATTGTCCCGCGATCTACAGGTGATTACGTCATCAGAAAATGTGTTGTCGATTCCGATATTGTTTTATGCATTAAATCTACTAAAATATAAATGAATATTCCAAAATACTTACGCAAGCATGTTCCATGACATGGTATTTGGTAATGTACATCCGTGTAATTTAATGTCACGTCTTATTTGGTGTTAATGTTGCATTCTTCTCGCTCTAACGTTCGGCGTCTTCTGCTTAATATACGTATTTCCGGAAGTAGAATGACGTCACATATCATAATCTCGCTCCAAATCAGTTGAACTTGATCAGCTGCTCACACGAAAATTTGGCATGCATCAAATTTCACAGTGTTTAGTCGATTCAAGCGAACGTTTAATAGATTGTTTTATGCATTAAATCTACTAAAATATAAATGAATATTCCAAAATACTTACGCAAGCATGTTCCATGACATGGTATTTGCTAATGTACATCCGTGTAATTTAATGTCACGTCTTATTTGGTGTTAATGTTGCATTCTTCTCGCTCTAACGTTCGGCGTCTTCTGCTTAATATACGTATTTCCGGAAGTAGAATGACGTCACATATCATAATCTCGTTCCAAATCAGTTGAACTTGAAGACATAACAGACGTAAGTTGTAAATTTTGGGCCGAGAGAGGATTTAGGAAATTTTACGATTGCATAGACGTTTAATAGAGTTTAATATAACAATTACCGTGCAGCATTGTTGGTTCTGCCTTTGCGCACAGTAATTATTCTTTTGGATTAACTAAAATCTAGAAATGACAGAAAGTAGACACACAGCACTGAGCCAAAAGTGTTGCAAGAAAAATGGACGCCGCTCAAAGCAGAGGTTGTCACATGAAATTTTTAAGCATTGAAAACGGCTTTAAAATAATATTTTTCTTACCTTGTTTTGATTAGTGTTTGGTGATATAACCTCTCTGAATCCCTACACTCCTCAATCTCTGTGATTGACTGGTATAATAAATATATTACACTGGAGTCAGGCTCTGCAAGATCCTAGTTACAAGGTGTATGAGATCCTGGGGTGCTTTGAGCTTCTTTCGGTTTCTTTAGTAATACTTGCTTAAATATATACATTATTGAATTCATTAGTCAAATCTGTCAAAGACTGCCGTTATAGTTCCGCCCGCAACCTCCACTTGAAATGTTAAAGTGTAAATTGGTGTTGTAGTAAAAATACAAATTGAAGGTTAGGGTTAGGTTAGGGTTAGTATGCATCAGAGCGGATATGAACTCAATAATACTAATGATAAAAAACAGGGGTTACAGTCAGAAATCTGTCCAGACTGCCTACGATTACCTTGCACTCTACAACAAAGTCTCCGATCACTTCTCTGGTTAGACAAGTTGGCCCTCCCACTTCTAGCCTTGTTTTCTAATAAACCACAGGCACAAAAAATTTCTTCCAGACTCACAGAGACAGTAGATTCATGTATCCACAAAATCTTAGCAATGTTGCAATGTTTTTCTCCACTGTTTCAAAAATGTTAACGAGTGTATGAAATAAGCCAAAAATCCAGCTAGACATCAGGGCTGGTAACTTCAAAATGTTACCAGCCCAAAATGGATTTAACCAGACCAAATATGATGAATTTACTCAGATGTATGGAACATCTAAAAAATTTACCAGACCATCGGGCTGGCTAGCTGTAAATTCGGGCTCTCCGATAGAAATTTTGCCCGTCTGGGGCGGTCGGAGGGGCCTTATTTCATACACTGTGTTAACATTTTTTTTTCAACCTGGGAGTCAATTCTCTTCTGACAGCAGCCATGATTTCATCTTTAATGTAAACAGGATGTCATTTGCTCCACCTACTTCTTTAGGTGCTATGTGAAATAGTAACCCCTAAAATATGATCCTATACCAAAATTAATTTTGGATGTAAACAGTGTAAAAAAAATTATCCAAATACCTGAAGGCCATATCAGCGCAAATACAGCAGCAGCCATTTTTCTTGCAACACTTTTGGCCTGGTGCTGTAGATTTCTAAACTGTCATGACTGACAAGCCGGTTAATTAGCAAAGTTTACGTCTCCACAATTTGCCAGTGTAACTTGAAAAAATGATAAACGAGAAAGATTTCCATCGACTTCTGATGGTTGGGATGGGACAGCAAACATCCTAACAACCACCCCCAACCCCTTACAATACCCTTTGCACTTCTTGTTGAATTTTTGCTCTTAGTTACTACTCCAATATTTAAAAAAAAAAATCAATTGATATTTTGTAAACTATTATCAATCTCGATGATCAATATTGTTTGTTGTTTAACGCCACACTCATTATTCAGATGATAAGTGTACTTTTAACTAGTGTGCAGATGCTTCCTCTTCCTTGTGGTAATTTGCAGGACTCAGGGGTGGAAATAACTTTAAAATTGCTAGTGTACACCGGTACAGTGGCACATATAAAATCACTTGCCCTGATAATTTTTCCTCTATACCGGCCGATTTTCTTCTTGTCCCCCGCCGCAACGGGGGACTATGTATTCAGCGGCATCTGTCCGTCTGTCCATACGTCCCAATTCTTGTTAACACGACATCTCATGAACTGTTGTACTCAATGTCTTCAAATTTGGTGACAGCCTACATTGGGGGATTACGCAGACACCAGTCGATTTTGGTGACGTTGACCTTATTTCCAAGGTACACTGGTGGACAGAAGTAAACTTCAAACCCTCATGGTATAGAAGCGTCTTCTTTCACCACAAAAACACTGTCATATTAAGCCTTGTCCTACAAAGAGTGATGAGCTCTGGAGCGTATTGGTGCGATTTTATCACACAAACAATACCTAGCGGGCTGATCCTATCATCTGAACAAATACAGCCAGCTTTCCCTGCCTGGGAGATGCCCATCAACTCCATTGATTAATCACATTCAACTCTCAGAAAAACTTTCAAGTTAAACATCTTGATCTGCTTCTAATGGCTTGTGTCAGATTTTGAGGAAACGAGTTGAGTATTTTTTTGATCATGTTAGATAGCAGATAAAATGCCTGAGGTTAAGTGGATCAGAATTTCATATGATGTAGCAATATTTGCCATTGCCGTGTAGATAATATGAAGGTTTTGTCAAAAGATTGAAGGTGGAGGGGGTAGCCTTGCGCTCCATGTGTTGGCTTGTCGTGCTGAGATTTGATTCCCCACATGGGTACAATATGCAAATCCCAGTACTAGTGGTTGCTGTAGTGATATGGCCAAAATTATTGCGGAAAGCAGCATAAATCCAGTTTCACTGATGCTTCCACTTTTTGAAGTGCCCATGGCACAGTGGGTAGTTTATGGATTTGTTGGTGTGGGTTTCATTCTGAGATAAATGTTATGTATGTGAAGTTTATTCTTGCTGTTCTAATTGTTATTAGGGGCAGTAGGGTAGCCTTGTGGTTAAAGTGGTTACTCGTTAACACTGAAGACCGGTTCGATTCCCCACATGGGTACTATGTGTGAAGCCCATTGGTGTCCCCCGCCGTGATATTGCTGTAATATTGCTAAAAGCGGCACAAAACTATACTCACTCACTCACTCACTAATTGTGATTAGCAGATTTAAAACATTACTTGTATGTGCTTTTGAAATCATTCAGCTGTTGTTGCAAGGTAAATATTATATCCTGATTAGCAAACTTATTTTGCCAGGGAAACAAGTCTTTTGGTTGAGAACCAGTGTGAGTAATGTTTATGTAACAAGATTAAGAAAATGATCATTTCTGGTATATTTGATTTAGTATGTGGTTGATTTGTAATTTCCTTGCTCTTGAATGTTCATTTGTGTGTATTGTAACACTGTGAGTCATGACCAGACAGTCCAGTGATTGACATCATGAGCATCAATCTATGCAGTTATGCATCAACCGAGTCACCAAGTTGACGATTCAGTCACCTCCCAACAAGCCCTTGATAATAATAATGATAATGATTCGTTTATTTAGCGCCTAGTATCTATGTGACTAGTTGCTCACTGGACGCTGTAATCAGAATCTGATTGTTATTACCCCGGATAACCCAAGCTGCCTGTTAGGCGCTAGAAGGTTATAGTCACATGACTTTATCCAACCGGGTACCCATTTTCTGATGGGTGAACAGAGGCAAATTTGAACAAACTCACTTGCCATAGGTGAGACCACATGTATCACATGTGCTTCGTGGTGGGGCAGGACGGAAGTCCAAGAAACTCTGGAGTCCAAGGTCACCCATCCAAGGACTGTCTGAGGTTGCTTAACTTCAACTGAGCTATACGCACAGGACCACACACTACCACTTATGTGGGTTACTGGAAAATGCTTCAAACTTGAAATTGTCACTGGATTCTTTTGAATGGATATGATATACATATTATACAGATTTAATCTTATCTGCAAATGATTTACATGTTTTCTCAATTTAAACAAAATAAGTAAATAAATAAAACCAAGTAAACACCTGACATACATGATTTAAATGTTTAATAAAAATAACATTTTTACAAATATAACTAGCCATATTTCATCAAGGCAAATTAAATTTCAGACCATTTTTTGTGAAATCTGGTTTCAAATGATTAATTTTGAGAAAATGTATTTTTGTACTATTTTATGTTCATAGTTAATATGCTTGAAAATGTCACTTACCATATATTCAATGTAAAGATAAGACCACGGACAGGTACATTTTATTCATCTGAGTGTCTGTTTCAGTTGGTTGCACCAAACTGCAGTAAATGTCAGGTAAAAAGTGTTGGCTGACACTGACAATGGCCTCGTATTTAGACAACCAAATCCTGATAAGACATGCACTCATCACCAGGCTGTGGGTGCTAGGCTTAAATTGCGTTGGCGATATTAAATATTTGTGCGTTCAGTTTGTCTAAGCCAGTTCCTTGTTTGAAAGGTTAATTTTATCTTGAAATGTCCCTTGAAATTTCGCATCATTGATGCCCAGTTAAGACTGTTTGTTCTAGTCTAGAGAATGCCATGTTTTGCAATTTTAGGATTTGTGGAATGAATGAACTTTAGTATATTCCAAACACTGTTTTCTGAAGAATATTAACAGGGCTGTTTTGTGAAAAAGTAAAACATTACCAAAACTCCAGGTGTCGTGGCTTCATTGACAAAGCTGGGAGTGAAAATTGAGCAGAATTTTTTAAAATAATTTTGTCAAAAACATTTCAAAGAACAACTCTTCGTAGCAGTGTTAAGATGTTTAAACTGGTAGGAATGCTGTTATGTTCATAGATTTGATGTAAGCCGTAAAAGGATAGAATTAATCTGACAAGTTAACACGGACAGCATTTGCTGCAGCATTCCAGGAATAGAATAGGTCAGTTGATGGGTGTTTGTACATATGACTAGAGGGAGGGATGTATTGGAACAGGTGACCCAGGGAATTGCCTTGTCTTTAATGCAGTTCTGTCTGATTTATGGAGCTCTTCGGTCCTGAAGATGTTTACTTTGTAGATCAAATATAATGAAACCGCCATGATAAATATCCTGGTCGAGATGGTAGGTGGAGGTTTCAAAATGTCACAGATGGTTTAGGAGTGTGCAGTGTCACAAATGAAATAGACTCAGGGTACTTGATCTATTTCATTTGGTCAGGTTAAAGTTAGTATAAGGGTCCCTATAATTTTATATTAGCGATAAACATTAAGGAACCAGAACCTACTTCATTAGGCTAAGGCTTAGTCTCTGAATATATATATGTAATTTTGATAGTAACAAACAAGCCCATTTATATTGAAAAGGAGCCCTAGGGAGACCAGAGATTCAGAACCTGAGGAAATCTAGACTTGCTTTATTTAGGGCTTTAACACTGCAGAGGGCTTGGCAGTAGGGAAAATAATGTGGTTCAGGGACTGTGAGACAGACTACTACTTCATTGTAGTGACATTGTGAGTGCTGTTAATGAATGAACTTTGTGAAGGTAACTGGTTTATGGTAAATTCGGCCCACTGAAGGGCATTGTCTTCATTTTGATTATATATTTTTATTTTAATGGAAACATATGAGACAGAATTTTATTAGTTTCATTAAAAATATTCTCCAGATGCTGAAGCAAATATAAGAAAGTCCTCTGTAGAAGATGCACTTTCTTTGGAATATATAATTTTTTGTTTATTGCTTCAAGTGAATGAACAGGAGATAAGAAATTTACTCATTGAAAATATGAAATTAGCAATAAAACGTCATCCTTATCCGATGAGATAGTATTTTGGTTTTGTTATTGCTTCATGTACAAGAAAACTGAAATAGAGCTGACATTTTACACTGTTGGCACCTCTCAAGCATGCCATGGTCCTGAAATGTGAGTAATAATTTTTTGAAATTGTTAACATTGTCAGCTTTTAAATTAATAATGTTACTGACAGACAAGCAGAGCTTTAGAGTGTCTCTGTTGAAATCTGATTTATCACTAAATAAAAGCCTTCAGGACATCTCCCTTTCACATGAATGTTTTCAAAAATATCTCAACTTCTATTGTTACATGTTCTCCCCATACGCAACTGATAAGCTGGGATATTGGACAAATGCCAGGTATTAATGTCAAATAGGTGTGCTTATCATGTAATGGAAGGGGAAATGGCAAGGTGGGGGTGGGAGCCAGGTGGTTGGTGGTTGGGGGGTGAAGGATGGAGATACTGACTGATTTACCTGATCACTTACACACTATAATATAATGCCTCTCTTGTATTCTTTCATTAAAAGATTACTCCCTTACCTTGGAAGGTTCTAGAAAGTCTGCCATTTGCATTGTTCATTGATTAAACCTGCATGACTGTGCTGTTGCTGTGATTCCCTGAATAGTCTGAATACTTACATGTATTATATGCCAGTATTGAGTTGGAAACAGGTTGTTAGCAGCTATGTTAGCACCATCTATGGTAGTCCCATCTATGGTAGATAATGAATTTATCTAACTGCACACCTTTTTACCAACTTTGTTGCAGGTATGTCTTATGTATGCTTTAGTCTGAATTAGTAAGAATACCACAGGTAGCCCTATTTACACCTAGTTCATTTTTCACACTCATAGAAAAATAATAGATCAATGAAACAAAGGCTTATTCACCCTAGATATATTTCATATTCAAAATGTCATACATTTCTGGAGAATGGCACCTCACATTATTAATTCAAGAAACAACATTGCAGGAAGTATGTTGCAAATGTTATGCCAGCAGTTTGCCAATTTAATCAGGGACAGTTTAGTTTGTGAGTGAGTGTGCAGGGGAGGTAATTCACCATTTTCATCACTGTGACACGTGTTGTATTCATGGGAGAAAAATGTTTTAGTATAAGGACTTGTTTTAACTTAGATCATTGGTTCTCAGTTGGAAGCGAATAAAACTGATAGATATGAAGCAAATATTTCTGCATCATTCACATGGAACTAGATTAAAAACAAATCTGTGAACTTGGGAACCCAATGGTGTTAATGTGCACACTGGGTCAGTCAGTTAATTGGATATTAAAACTCTAAGTCTGTGACTAGTGTATGATAATGTATTGTTTTCTCATTAATATGTATTTGTATTTTGTTAGAATATATACATATAGGAGGTGAAGTTCAGCAGTGTACCATTGTACATATGTAAAGAAATCAACAAAATAATGACACAACACAAATTTGTGTAGATCGATGTTCATACTGTTGATCACTGGATTGTCTGGTCCAGACTTGACTATTTACAGATTGATTATTTAGCTGTCAACCACTGGTTTCCCTTGCTCAGACTCAATTATTGATGCAATTTCCGTTAACAGAATAACCTAGCTTCAAATACAGCCTTTGTGTTATATGAACTCTGTCATGGGATCAGTCAATATTCAGTTTGTACTGAAATCATTATGTTCTCCATTTCTGCTCAAGGCATTATGTACCGGGGGTAAGTAGTTAAATAAACCTATTGGATGTGAGGGATATCATATTATGTATTGTATCATACCCTTGTTATCATTAGTCCTGTGGGGTTAGGACTGGGCCCCAGCAGCTAAAAGTGTAACAGTACATTGATCTCTTGAACTGTTTGCCCTACGATAGTGCTGTATTGATAAGGAATTTAAGAATGCTAATAGTATTGTCGATAGCATAACAATTTATGGTTTTAATGGTTGCAGTTTGTAATAAATATAAAATTTGAAACGTGTGCATTTTTTTAAACATTTTTAGGATTAGGACTACTTCAGATTAGAGTTACTTCCCTTTGGTTTGGGCGGCAACAGGGAGGAAAATGGCTAACTTTGCAGGAATACTTTGATGGGTTTTTTTGTGACATTGATTAAAATTATTATGAAGTATTGAAGTTGGTTCACTATGATCACAATATTATTGCAGTCAACAACTATTGCAGTCCTATTGCAATAGAGTAGCTACCATTGCATTGTCCCAATGGTCATCCCTACCTGCAAACTATGCTGGTCTTGCTGTGAAGAAACAGATATCCTATGTGGGGACTGGACAAGGGAATATGAGTGAATCTAGCACATCTGTGGTAGATACAAGATAAATAAGTGTTATATAGTGGTGGAAGGGCTCAGTGATGTAAAACATGTTAGTCCCGCTGAAGGGGTCGTTGTCGGCACAGGTACTACAGATACGTACCCCAGGTACGTTTCTGTATACAGATATGTACCCTAAACAAAGTCAAAATACAGAAACGTACTCGGTACCCTATAAGGCCGACGAGTCCATATTCCCGCAATCAAAAACCGAAACTGTATGTAGTTGTTCCTGTTCAACTGATTCCAAGTGGTATTCATGTGCATCGCGAAATATCCGTTACTGTGTATTTTCAATACTTACATAACGCAATCAAATGTATCTAATACAACAGTATGACAGTTCCGGTCAAGAATACGACACATTGGGAATGGAATCGTCCTAGGGTACGTTTCTGTATTCGTATTATGGCCAAGGTGCGTTTCTGTATACAGAAACGTACCTGGGGTACATATCTGTAGTACCCGTGCCGACAACGACCCCTTCGGCGTTAGTCCCTGCCTCAGAACTGAAGTAATGAATGTGGACATATTGTTCCCAAAATACTGACATGAATATGGTTAACGAAAATAAGCCCCTGGAATATGAGGAACTCTTGTGGCTCTTACTTGAGGATGTGTATAGGCAGCTATAGCTGTGAAGGTTTGAGACTAGAATGGGGCGAATGTTTATGATATTATGTGCTCCTGTATTTTTAAGAGAGACTAATAAATGTTATTGAGCAGTGGTTGAGATACTTGCAGTTGAGTTGCTTCTTGGAAGATTATATACTTGTAGTAATGTTCATCAGGGACAAGGGATAGTAGTTTTGTTCATCTAGTGTAATTCATGATACTTAGAACTAGTTGAAGATGACCAAGGCAAGTTGATGATCACAGCAGCTGAATCAGGGCTAGATGATGATCATCAAGGCTGAATCAGGTCTGGGCACATCGTGATCATCAGGTCAGTTAGATGATCATGATGACAGGTAATTGTCCATGACTAGTAGACAGTGCCTAATGAAACTTTCAGTTTCAAATGCTAGATATTATTGTCAAAGTGACCCCATTTTACCTCATCAATCACTGAATATAAATTAAGGTTATTGTTGAAAGCAACAAATCTACAAATTGTTAAAAATCTATCAATGTACATCTATCATGGGTTCAACAGTAGAAAATTTGTTTTAAATACCATGTAACTGTACACACTTGTATTGTACTATAGGCCTGTGGCCTCTTCTGTACCCTGAATAAAAGAAATTGATTGACTAATAATCAACAATTTTACAAAGTGAAGTCTTTTCCTCCTTAAACAATGATGTTTTGACAGGTGTCACAAATCAGATTTTTCTTATGACAAAGGTTTGATATTTATAATGATAAAGGCTGCAATAAGGGATGATTTTAAGTTTTTAAGCAGTTTCTGAAAGCATAAAATAATGGAAGCTGACATCTTCCAGAATGTCAAAGAAGAAGTGGCATTGTCAGCACAGGCACAACTATAGATTCTGTCAACTGTTCTTCATAACCAGACCCCCATCAATCCCCCTTGTATATCTCCTTCCCCTATCTTTGATCTTCAATCTCTGACAATACCTTCACAAACAAGTGAAAAAAACTCCTTTGTTGCATTGTCGTTGTCTATGAGACAAAAATCAAGTAGCCCTCAGCTATGCTAATATTTGTCATGCATGAAGATCCTCGTCCAAAGCTGATGGAAAGCCATTCTGCAGCCCTTTTATCCAATACAATTATTCTGTGGAGAGTTAAGATGCTGCAATCACTCCACGTACGCGGAATGAATGAAGAATCTTGCCATTTTTAGCCTTTGTTATCAGCTTTTTTGTCATATTTTACATCTAATGTTGCAGCAAAACATGCTGTTATGTTAGAAAGGAAAGATGCATGAATAGATTTCAACTTAATTTAGTAGAAAATGGGTGTTTTTTGTGTGTGACCATTAAGTGTTCAGGAAAGTGTTTTTTGAAAGTCTTGACGAGAAGAGTAAGCCTAATTTGCTGGAATGATAATCTGTGGAATCATCTTTTGACAGTTGGTGACTTTAGCCGCTTGTCTGAAGCCCGAGTATAGTAAAATTCTTTCCCCGGCTTGTAAGCACAGATTGGAATGGTCTACTAATATGGTACAGAATGTACAGAAAATGATGTATATAGGTTGGTAGAAAACAACAGTTGTTGGCTCAGATCTATGGAAGTATCTTGAATTTCAAGAGAATGAGCACCAATGAGGAAAATGTTGTGTGCAGTTGACGGAGTTCCTTTTCACGTATCTTGTGATGTTTTCACCCATTCGCTGGTTGCATTGAGAGTAATCTGCATTGAAACTGAATTTGATATAGTGGCATTTAATCTTGTTTAGTTTGAAATAGTGGCATTGAATCTTGTTGAATTTTACATAGTGATTATTAAACATTACATTATTTCTTTCCTGAATGTCTGGATTTTTGTAGCCCGGCTGTAGAGAAATGTTTGGTATCAGGGGTGGAAATAACACATTGCACGACGCCTGAGTCCAGTGGGTTTTTTGTTGGGCAAGCAAATTTGTATATCACACTGTACTGGTGTCCAGTTGACTTTCCAATATTAATTATGTTGTTTATTTAAAAAATCAACAAGAAAATGGACGGTATAGTGGAAAAATTATCAGGGCAAGTTATTTCCACCCCTGAGTATGTGTTAGTATGATCCCTGGGCAGTATGAAGCCTGGATACCTGTGTGCATCTGCCATTCAGATACTTCAGTCAGTTGGGACTCTTGCTGGTAGATCTGTGAACTGTGAATCTGTGTTGTAACCTTGGAAAATGAATTGTTTGTTTGTTTCATGTTAAGTAGTATTCGAGTTATATGACCCCAGTCTGTAAATAAAGTCTGGACCAGACATTCCACCATGACCATCGATCTATGCATTTGGGATACCTGTGTCTGGACCAGACATTCCACCATGACCATCGATCTATGCATTTGGGATACCTGTGTCTGGACCAGACATTCCACCATGACCATCGATCTATGCATTTGGGATACCTGTGTCTGGACCAGACATTCCACCATGACCATCGATCTATGCATTTGGGATACCTGTGTCTGGACCAGACATTCCACCATGACCATCGATCTATTCATTTGGGATACCTGTATCAACCAAGTCAGCAAACTGAAAGCCTTGAATTTGTCCCCAAACAAAATCACAAGTCATCTAGTAGCTGTTGGGTTGAGTCCCATTGTGGAAGCTGCAGTGGCTGATCAGGCAGTTGACTTTGTGTGCTGCGAAAAGGTGCCTGACTCTGATTTGGTTCCCAAATGCGACTCGAAACAATACTAGATTCTATACTTTGCTGAGAAAGTCTAATAAACCTGTAAACATTCATTCAGTTTATTTTCGGCTTTTCGCCCTGAGTTTTAGTGCGAAAAATTTATACACCAATAAACCTGTCATTCATTCAGTCTAGTTTGAGTTGTTACCATAACACATCAAGTTTGAAGACAGAAATCTTCTTAAAATGGCGACTGATAGTAGCATAAAGAATCATACTTAACTGTCGCTGTAATGGATTTCCCAAAACATAATTAAATAATGAGCCAAATCCCATCGCGAATTAGCGAAAACAGCAATGTGTGTTGTGGCCGCCATGGAAATTGGTCACATGACAGATGGTTTGATACAAAACAGATTACCATGAAACGACTTCGGAAAGAAATAATACAGCAGTATTTTATTTATTCATTAAGATTTTATTTACCAGTACATCATGAAGCGAATAGTCACTTAACACTCAATCATCTCATTCACAACAACCCGGCTTGTTTGAAATCACAAAGAGCTTCATATACAGTAGAAGTTAATTCGTCAGATCGTCAGAATTCGCGGAACATAAGACTGATGTTTTTCATCTCTTCCGTGAGTAAACGGATTACTGTGTACTAGTATATCGCACAGATAGGGATTTCCTGTGAGTAAGCAATAAACGCCGCCTGACAGGTTAAGCCACTCTGTTTGTTTTCACTGCTATTAGTGGCGGCCAAAGAGACAGCTGGCAGTTCCGGCAATTACTGATTGCGCGAATAATTGACCGCGCGATGTAGTCTAAACTGTCAATTCCGCGAAAATTGCACCACGCGAAAATAAGTACGTTTACAGTATATGTTATTTAAAATCACTGAATGTATCCCAAACTGAATGCCCTAAATGTGCCTCAAAACACAATCCCTGAATGTCTTCAGCTCCGAAGAATGTTTCAGAAACCAGTAACAGTGGCTGTAATTCAAGTGACCCAGTTCGGCAAATATTCCCCAGTATTTTGGCTGTGTTGATGCACCCAGACAGCTTCAATGTATGTAGCACAACATCCTTCAGTTAGTTGATATATGTGTTTGTCAGGTTTCTAAAGCAAGATTGATTTTCCACATACACCCACAACTCCAGCTTCGAGATGACAGAGTTTTAGAGTTTTGACCTTTCAGTTCTTCCTCAATCCTGCTCAATCCCATCACTGTTGCTTCTCAGTTGTGCACGCCCATGTAAGCAGATCCACTCATCACTGTCCATTGGGAGACGTCACGCTGGTAGTAACGTGCAACCACGGCTTGCTTGTCGTCTGTCGTTGCAGGATAATTGTGAACAATGTTTGAATCAATGCAACCAACAGTGCTCGAAACCATTTGTAATAATTTGTTCCTATTTGTTCACAACTGAAATTTCTATAGGTTAAAACTTTTAAAGAGTCGCCACGATTTGTGTTGAATTTGCATGGGTTTTCCTGAAGTGAACTAGTTTAAATTTATAAGACAAAATATTATGGATGTCAACTTCTTTGTTGTATACACAATGTTTCAGGACTTTTCCTTGCCCCTTCATCAGCTGAATGAAGGGGCAAGGAAAAGCCCAAGGCCCCGTTACACAAAGCTCTCATAGGCCTAAGATCTCGTAACTTTTCTCGTAGCATTGGTACCTGCTATACTGTAACATTGGAGGTACGAATGCTACGAGAAAAGATACAAGATCTTAGGCCTACGAGAGCTTTGTGAAACGGGGCCCTGAAACATTGTGTATACAATAAAGAAGTTGACATCCATTATATTTTGTCTTATACTTGAGTACCAACTTCTGTATGCCTCTGAAGAACCACATAGTTTAAATTTGTTTCTATTTTAGCTAAGAGTATGTATTTTTGTTCGTGAGATTTGGTGAAGTTGTATGAAGTTGTACTTCAAGAAGTAAACAATGTCAATACAAGAGGATAACCAGTCTTGAATATCCAGTGAAACAGATTCCATTGGGGTAATGGGCTAAACCCTAAGAAAGTAATATGTATGGTCCATTGAAATCAGTGATCACATCAGGTTTTTCACGAAAAAAGGGTAAGCATATCTTGCCTTTTCAATAGGACTTGACATTCACACAGTTTTCATAAAAAATGTAAGCATTCATTTCCTGACATAGCACCACACTTCTGCCATGTATTTAGGACAGGCACTTCAGAAATTTGACCTATATTTTCTGAAATTCAGTTGAAGTCTTCAGATTTTAAGAGTCCCAGAATCCTTGTCATAATTTAATGTTATTTAATGAAACCTTAGATTTGAAAAACTCATGAATATTGATACACCTCCTAATATACATAGAAGTAAATATTGTATTGAGTCTTGTATGTTCCTATATGCACCTAGTATTATATCATTGTTTCTTTACCACTACCCAGTGCCAGCTGAATCATTAATGTGTCGTCTAGTTGTTTGGCTGTCATGAATGGCTTCCAGAATGCTGATTCGGCGTTAAGTTGGTGTTGTAACCCGTCCTATGCGCATAAAAATTGACAATGGACGCAACAAAATTTATTAGCGCATCCACAGGGATGCAGAAAAAGTCCAAATACTTTTTGTAACAATTCCAATCAAATAACAATAAGTTATCAAAGAGTTTGCTACTAGCTGGATTATGGTATCATTTGCAATTCAATTACTGTAATAATGTGATGATCATGATATGCAAGACCAATAACATTATTAATAATAATATTTAAGTGTCTGGACCCCCATTTTGTTGTCCAGGACCCCTGAAAATTGAGAGTATGAGTCCCAGGGACCCTCAACAGGACTCAATGTAAATCCCTGTAACCTCATTCACTAATCACTCTATTTTGTGGTAATGTGTGTCCAGTGCCATCATTGTCATGTTCAGCCAGAAACACCTCCAACAGCTTCTGGATAATTGCTTTAAAGACAGTTATGGGTTAATTGAAATAAGAATGGTAAGTTGAGCAGACTGTTTTTCCCTACAAATAGATATAGTTTAAAAGTAGTCACTTGCAAGCATTTATTTTTCAAATAGATGTATCAATTCTGTGTTTGCATTTATCAATACACCTCTGAGTTCTACATGTTCCAGTGCATTGTTTGATGTGGTTAAGGCCTGTTTGCAGATATTGATAATTGTGCAGGATAAAGTAGGTCACATCAGCTCTGTCACCCGAATAATGTCTTTTGCTGTATATACAAATAAGCATAGTCAAATAAAATGGATGGTCAGGCCCACTTATTAGCCTGTGGTGTTCTAATGGCTATTGTGGATGGACAATCATGCATTTCATCAGAAAATCATTACAATATGGCTGTTATGTTGCACTATTATATATTGTATGATGAGCCTCACTTCACTTTAGACTTCCGTCTCTGACCTGCATCACACCACACTTCCATCCATGACCTGCATCACACCAGACTTGCATCTCTGACCTGCATCCCTTCAGACTTCCATCCATGACCTGCATCACACCACACTTCCATCTCTGACCTGCATCACACCAGACTTTCATCCATGACCTGCATCACATGAAACTTCCATCCATGACCTGCATCATACCAGATTTGCATCCATGACCTGCATCACACCAGACTTCCTTCCATGACCTGCATCACTCCACACTTCCATCTCTGACCTGCATCACTACACACTTCCATCTCTGACCTGCATGGTACCAGACTTGCATCCCTTTCAGACTTCCATCCATGACCTGCATCATACCAGACTTGCATCCATGACCTGCATCACTACACACTTCCATCTCTGACCTGCATGACACCAGACTTGCATCCCTTTCAGACTTCCATCTATGACCTGCATCATACCAGACTTGCATCCATGACCTGCGTCACACCACACTTACATCCATGACCTGCATCACTCCACACTTCCATCTCTGACCTGCATCGCACCAGACTTCCATCTCGGACCTGCATCCCTTCAGACTTCCATCCATGACCTGCATCACTACACACTTCCATCTCTGACCTGCGTCACACCAGACTTCCATCTCTGACCATCATCCTTTCAGACTTCAATCCCACATGGTATATGAAAGATATTGTTAGTAATGTCTTCAAACTGTAGTCACTCACTTACTCTGCAAACTTTACATCACACGTGTTTACTTTAGATCAATTGCCATGACTCAGTGTTACCCATGCAAAGGAAGCGCTTGGATCTATACTGTTTAAAAAGTATCTGGGCGAACAAGATCGTCTTGATGACAGTGAACTCAATGCTCCTGTCATTCAGCCATAGTTGACTAGTCATGCAGCCCAACTTCACTGTGTTGAGGATGGCACCAGTCCTTGCAGTAAATGGAGTAGATGTGGTAGTATTTGTTGTTGTTGAGGGCGAGGAAGAATTGATTCAAGATGTAGACTATTGAAGAAATGTTGATGGTACCAGTTCATTAACTGGAGCTGCTAATGTTGATGAAGGTGAAGGAGGAAGATTATTCAGTTTTCCTTGCTCATCCCAATGAAACATTATGCTGAATCTATGAAGATGATGTGAATCTATGAATTCATAAAGATTCTTCCTATTGCATGTTAAGCTGTTCGATTATTCTTCCGAAAATAAACTCTTTCATTTACACTCTGTATTATGCTGTAATTCCTTGTGGAAGAATAAGCAATATTTTATGATAGGAAGAGATGAGAACAGCATGAAAATGTTCAGTGAAGCCAATGAAAGCATGACTGAGAGGGAACACAGTCTCTTATTCTAAAGGATATTGAAAAGGCAATATAGAAGAGCTTGCATGCATAGGCATGTTGATCAGATGATAATGTCAGCAATTTTAAAAAGGGGCATTAATCAGTTTGGTGGGAAATATGAGTATCACAAATGAATTTTTCTGCCACGAATACAGTGATGAAGTGTTTCGAATTGCTGGTTTGATACACTCGGGCTATTGTGAAATAAAATCAGATTGTCAATTGATTGCGGCTCTCAAAGAAGCTTCGATCATGCATTCGTGATCAATATTGTTGATTATTTTGAAGGATTTCTCTTGTCTCAAATTTGTTTTATTGTTGACATGCTATTGCCATAAATTGAATTTCGCTGTTCTCAGTTCCAGTATATTGATCAATAACAATTTGATTATAATCTCTATTCAAAGAAGGTTACGCCCTGTGTTGTTATTTCACTCGATGAGAAATTGACGTCGTCTGCTGGATACATCTTAACGTTATTTTCTTCTTTCAAGTCAAGACATTCATGGCTGACACAAGGACTTCGTTATTTTAAAAATTAGTGCACCTGAGTTATTTAAGTGTCCTTTTCAGGGACATATTCCATCTTGAACTGTTTCAGGTATCTTTTACCATTGTCATTACTGTGAAGGACTTTTACCAGATAATCTTCATCAAAGCCAAAATATATTATACCCATAGTGGATAGAAGTTTGCTGAGCTTTGATGAGATGAATGTTCACTGAAGTGACTTGTGACCATTGTATGTAGGGTTTAACATTGACTTACAAATCTGGGGGTCCGTCATCAGTCAGCTTCAAGGGTCATTACAGGAAATAGGAGGGTCTCGTAAAGTAATGACATCATGTACTGTTAATTTGGATAATTACTTTGAAATACAGGACATTTATATTTCTTGTGAGAGAGAGTGAGTTTAGTTTTATGCTGCTTTTTGCAATATTCCAGCAACATCACAGCCGGGGACACACCCAGAAATGCGCATCATACATTGTGCCCATGTGGGGAATAGAACCCGGGTCTTCGGCGTGACGAGCGAACACCTAATTACTAGGTTTTATTTCCAACAATTTTATTTTACAGACACGAGGAAATGTTGTGTTCACTAATTGTACTTGAAATATTTTGCACATGAGCCATGACAAAGTGGTTTATTCATTCTTTCAATATTTAAGCTTTAAAAAAATAGCAAAATGCAGGTACAATATCTTGCAAAATGCAATAAGTGTCTTATATAATTCAGACTGGTCTTGACATAAAATTCGTAGTTTTCTGTAATTCAGAGCTCTTGCAAGCAGTTGGTTATGAACGATGTATCAAAGTACTAGTACTTTATGAGGAATCCAAGTATAATGCTACAAACATACCTACTTGGTGCAGGGACTACAAGCACTTGCCCCTGCGTGTCCTATGCTATGGGCCAGTTGCAGGAAATGAACAGGAAATGTTGACTGGCATGAAATATTTGACCTCATTTGGAAATTCTGTCTGGCTGCTGTGAAATATATTTGCCTGCAGAATAGGTTTACATTTTGTCAGTTTTTTGTTTGCCATGAATTCATTGTTCTTCATCTGTTGTTTAATGTCAAGACAATATATTTGGTTCAATTTTGGTGCCATGTTTTTAGGTTCGAGTTCATGCTGCTTGCAGTGCCATGAAAATTGAAAATGAGTGTGATTTTTAGATGGTTGTGAACAGGAACACTTTTGGGGTTCCAGGTTAGAACTGGTTCCAAGCCACCTGTCCAGGCTGTAAGAGGCTACTACATGGTTTAGGTGGTTAGACATGCTGACCTAGTTGTTTGTGTGTCGTTGTACCCAGACAGTTATTGTGGGTCATCATTCCCCATTGATGATTTGTTTCCCTCGTCTGGCCTTGATGTGAAAATTTACAGTCTACATTCATATAGCTGATGTGTTTAGTAGAGAAGTTAATCACCCATTTTCAATATTGCTGACACGTTGAAATATATTAATCAATGTTGATAGGTGCAACGAATTGTTGATACATTGTTGACTCAAATTTGAAAAACAAACTCTGCAATAAATTCTCTTTTATTCAAATAGACGCAAGCATGGTTTCTTGAATGATAAAACCAACAAGTTAGCAAACAACTATTCTAAACAAATAATCCAAAATTCCAGTTTTCTAGAAGTCATGTGATACGACAGGTGTTCTCTGAGCTCCTCTCTAAGGGGAACGAACACCATCACTGCTTTCAATAAACTCAATTTTGCATTGGGATTTCTTGTTGACAATGGAGCTAAACAAAGGGATTGATGGGCTGAGAGAGCAAAGAGATTGACTCGGTAATTATACAACCGTCAGTATATATACTCAGCTTGGAGGGAACATGATCTGCGTGGAGGAGTCTATGTTTAGGCCAATTCCTGGAGGAATTGGTTCAGGATTTTTGCCTATTAGGGCCCGATTGTGTTGGTTTCTCTCAGAGTACTCAGAAACGTTATTGACCTTTGGCCTACTTAATAGCAGTTTCTGATTAATTCTGGTAATGGATTGTGAATAGGATGGTATTGGGTATGGAGAATCCTGCTTTGAAATGCTGTAATCTCTGTGGGTATTTGAGACTGATTGTAATGGTTCATGTTACCATAATCTGAGCTTCTGTTGATCCTGAAACACATTAGCCTAGGGTAGATAGAAATGATTTATCAGTTGCTTCTAAAATTGAGTTCTGGAAGTCTGTCATTTTATTTTGGGTATTTGAGTTGATCTTTCTATGTTGGATTTTTTTGTGTCATTAAAGTGCTGTTTACTTTAGTCACATCTATTGTAATGTAATCATATTCTGGTTCCTTTATTTAATGTGAATTCAGTTACTTGATGTTTTAGGGCTATCTCTAAAATTTGATAAATAACTTCTGGAAATTAATGTTGTGTGTGTTTTTCCATTTTTAGCTTATATGCATTTCAGAAGAATGTTGCTGTTTGTTATGTTCAAACATTAAGTATCATGTAAATTGTCAGCAGTAAAGGTTAAGTGAATGTTAGTAGTCAGTTCTAAAGCAGGTTGTAAAAATAGTGAAATATGTTGTGCTTTTAATAACAGAACTGGGAATGTTTTATAACTCAAACATTGTGATAACTCGCATATTACCACTCACTCTCTCCTGATAATATTAACCAAAATCAGTGGTGCAATATCCAACACAGATTGCCTCCAGTCTATCCAGAATCACCAAGCCACCCAGACAGAATGAAGCATGTCTGTAACAACATTCACTCCAGCAAGAGACAATGATGAGGTGAAGTTGGACAACACTACAATGTGATTACATGCTGTTATCCTTGCTGCTAGTCAAAGAAACACAAGCCGTTGTCTGTCAACACAAAATGAGGGGAGAATGTGCTTTTACTGGAGCAGGTTTTCAACTGGATATCCCATCACCTTTCACCATGCTGTGCTTGAGGCTAAAGAACTCCGCCAGCCTCTGCCATATTCCTCTCCCTGTCATGCAATAACAACAATGTACTTGAGCGCCAATGAAATTTGTGGTAAGGGTGAATATACTAAGTTAGTCCCAGCCTGACTTTCGTGTTTGTTAAATTATTCCGCTGGCTGACTCTTTCTCAGCTAGGGGAATGCACTTACGGGCAGTCTGTTCATCAGTCTGTAAAACTGATGGGAGCCAGTGTGAGTCCAGCTGAAGATGTGCTAGCAGATATTCATGCTCATATAGGCTGGACGTGGATTTGAGAATTTGACCAGAAGGATAATAAGACATTTGGTGGTGGTGGATACACCTTGGGCAATCTGGGGACGTATTCCCATTGTAGCAAGAGTTGATTGACATATAGTCTCTCAAATGAAATGATGTGAAGCTTTTTCAGTGTTAAATTATCTTTTTAATGTATGATTGAAAGGAACCCACATGATTTCTCTGAAACTGAAGATACCTGGACATTATATATTGATAATATGGCCACTTGTCTGTAAGTCTGATACAATTAAAAATTCAGAGGGACTAGTCGTTTTCAACCAAACTCTAACTTGATAACAGAAACAATAGTCTGAAATGAGCTTTCTTACCAGTTTGATTTGACCAACAGTTCCAAACCATTGTGTCAGGTTCAGTATGAGAAATGACAACAAAAATGTAATGGGGTGCGATAAGATGTAGTGGCAAAATGTAGTGGTTCAAGTCCCTGGCTATCTGCTGAAGTTCAGAGAAAAAAATCCATTCTTATCCCTGAATCAAACTCAGTACTGTTTAGTGTAATGTTTCAAGATGGATAGTATTGACTTTTAGATTCAAGTAGAATTTCACTCCCATTTCATATCACTTATCCTAGATGTATAGATCAGTGCTCATGATGCCAATCACTGGATTGTTCAGACTTGTCAACATATGATTGATTGGTTTGTTATTTAACGCCACACTCAGCAATATTCAAGCTGTATGGTTGCGGTCTGTAAATAATCGACACCGAACCAGATAATCCAGTCATCAACATCATGAGCATCGATCTATGGAATTGGGATATGATGACGTGTCAACCAAGCCAGCAAGCCTGACCACCTGATCCCTTACGCTCCTCTTACAAGCATGGGTTGCTGAAGACCAGTTCTAACCTGGATCTTCATGAGTAACCAACATATGAAACAAAGCTCATTACACTCCCTCGGAATTATGATCATTTTGGTATCTTGACCCTGACCTTTATTGAAACATTTCATTCCCAGATTGAGCATATGAGTCGTGTCTGTTTTAGGAGGTAGCTTATGTCACTGTTCCTGCTGCTTGTTGTAGATGCCTTACATGTTTCCCCTTAACAGAATTACACTGGAAAGGTTGGAGGTAGTTTCAAGGGAAACAGTGTTGCTGGCTGATGAATAAGAAGTCCATAATTGTATTTGTAAAGGGAACATTGGCGAGTGTCTCGTGTTGATGATGCAGGCTGTTACATAGGAGATAAATCCTGATTGAATTTAGAAGTGTTAGTAAGTTATGGAAGTAATAGGGCATGGAAGTGCATGTCAAAACAACATTAATAATACATAGGACTGGGGCTGGTGGCAGATCGTACTTTTTAAATGTACCGTTGTGAATATGGAATAGAGAGAATTGATGGGCTTCCTTCCATCAAGTAAAACATGTTGCAGGGATTTATCTAGGATACAGACTACTTGCTGAAGGCAAGCAAACTGGGAAACCATTTGTTTAATTAAAATTATTATTTTTAAAAGTTTTCTTTTCATAAATTCATGTCTTGTATTATGGTATATTGTCATTACTTCTGGTGCAATATTGTTAAGAGAAGCATCAAGGACACTTCTTTTTTATTAGTTTTGTCAGTGAAATAGATGCCATATACTTACTGGTTGTGAATTTGAGTAAACCAAGATAAATTCCTTTGATGTTTATTTACACAGAGTTTTGTTTTCAAAATATATAATAATTATGATTGTCTCCAAATGTGATCATGTTTAATCCAAAATGAATTGGTCAAAATATAGTGATGATATTTACTCAAATATGGTTTTGGCGATTCGATGTTGTGTTCAGTTTTCGAACTCTGAAACCAAGGCTTCTGTGTGTAACAGTACTGAAGTTCTAGCAACTCCCAGGAGTGAAGCTGCCAAATGCAGTCAACTATAGAAGTATTCTCAGCAACCAATGTTGCTCTACCTGGATGGATTTTTACTGCACTCAGCTGTGAACAGGATCACGTGCAGGCTAGTCAAAATTGGAATGAAAAACTATCCCAAGTAATGATTTATAATGTAGTTGTAATTGTAGATTAGTCCCTGCCCTATACATTGCTGCTCAAATAAGATAAGCTGTAAGACTAAGCTTTATGGTGTTCATATGTAATAACAGGGCTCCAGATAAGGGCCGTACCGGCGCATGTATGGATAAAAAATATGCACGATACGGTAGGAAATAATTTAG